ATCAGGGCCACTCCAAGAACATTCTGACCATCAAGTAATGGTAAAGGGAAATGAATTTGTCCTTAACTCCAGTTTCAGGGTTGTTCTTAACATCCACATAGCTACAGTTGATGTTCCCTATTCCTCTCCACTACTAAGTCACTTCAAGTTTTAAAATACCACCTATTCTACTGACTTCAGTCTCCACAGCTGTCCCACTGCCTTAACTTTTCTTTGAGCTTGGGAACAGATCATATTTCTGTCTTAAGCAAGCCATTGGAGTAGGGTAGGTGACACAAAAGTCACACATACATACTTCATTCCAATTAACAGTAAGGCATTTAAGAACTTTCCACAGTATACATTCTCTCAGTTCAGATAAAGAGAGTCACAAGATGATAAGCACTGCAAAAGTGCTTGAGATATCCCGTGAAGTTCCATGTCAGCATTTGTCTTCTCAGACTTCCCATGGATTGTCTTGACCATGGTCATGGCATTCAGCTATGCCACCCAGATAGGGTGAACATATTTCCAACACTGGTAGGTAGCATCAAAGCCTTTAAAGGTCAAAGACCTCTCAATGGCAATTAAACAGATCAGAACAAGTAAAAGAATGGAGGCTTTAAAATGGGCTAGCATACATTTATGCCTTAGCAATTCCAACCACAATCAACCACTATTTGTTCTTTGCGTTGATTGCAAATAACTTTTGAGTTTTGGTGCCCAGCTCAAAAGACTTGAATGTAATTTGTAAACATGAAATGTACAGATCTATGTTTCATATTATTTCATCCTTACAGTTTTCTCATTGTCTTCAAAAGCTTCTCTTGCTTCTTCTTTTGAGCAGCGCTCCTCAACGCATTCTCTTTCAATATCCCCTTTCCTCACTTCCTCAAAGATAGAGTTAGCACGTTTTGTTCTTTCCAAGAACTTGTCGGCATTTTCTTTCTTGATGAATACTAGATAAAAGAGAAAAATGATGGGTAACATTTGGTAGTGGTGGTAAAGAGTTATTAGAAATGAGATAGAAACAAAGCTAAAACAGACCCTTTCACCCCTCTACCTGTACACAACATTACTTGTAAAGTTAGTCCTCACACAGGCTGATATATCCCAGGATCTCTCACAGTAATCTCTCTGAGAATCGGTAGCCCCTGGGCAAAATGTAGGCCCCAAAAATTCTCTCCTACACTTTTTATTCTTGAAAATAAGAGCATGCAGGTTGCCACCGAGGGCTTACATTTCTGTTGCTCCTGCTCAAGACTCAGTCTTGAACAGAATAACTTTCCCTGGAGGCCAGGGAGATTGCATTCCTTGATTTTATTTTAAAGTTGACCATAAGGCAACGTAAATTCCTGATCTAGGGGCTTGTGATGCAGAAACTAAATGCCACATAAACTCAAGATGCAGCAATGTATCTAATAACAGACAGGAGGAGCCCATGTATGAGTCTTATTGCCCTTCACCACCCCATATCCCACTGTGCTGCACTGGGATCTTTCTCCCCTTTTAGCACCTCTCAAGCACCTGTAGAAATGTTCTAGCCTTACTGATATATGTACTGATAAGGCAGCTGCCTTTTAAGATTTAACAAAGAACAAAAGTAAATGAACATCAGCTTTAGCAGGAAAGTACAGCCTGAAGTCGTTTTGTTGAGTTGGTTTTATGTCTTAAAACTTTTAGTCACAGAAGCCTAAGACCTTCTGCTTTCAAGTTAAAGATGCAGGTAGCTGTTGATTTAAACTGGAGGGGTAGAGGCATTAGACTCATCTCAGGCACTTGGCTATGTGAGTAATAGCATTATTCTCCAGTGACTTGTGCACACATTACCAGGCAGGAAAAACAAAACCAACACTGGATGAAATAAGTTGCCAATTATTCTGTAAAAAGCATATGTTCTAGACAAGTGTGAAGAGTTTGGAAATTGGCTTTTAATCAAGTTCTACCATGTGGAATTTACACCAAAAAATACTTTCCAAGCACAGCGTGGAAGACTGTGCTACAGATGGGACTCAAGGACAATGCCTTATGCTCACCACACAGCTTGCGCATACCTTCTGGAGCATTCTTCATGCAGCTTAATTCAATAACAAATAAATTGCTGATAGTAATTATAGACCCTAATATCCTCCAAGTGAACACAGAGGGGACTTATTCTGCTTTCATTGGAATTGGTGGATCAGCCACAGGGAGACAAATTCTATTTGTGCTATTTGTGCTAAGCAATCCCATCCTTAATTTCAAGCCCCGCTTACTTTAAAACAGCTCCTCCCAAGGAAGGCTTACAGAAAGTGCTTGTAACTTGCAGCTCAGTGACTGTTAGTTCATTCACCCGCTATCTTATTTGCCCTTAAATCCCTCTCTGCAGTAACAGGAAAGTGACAGGACACAGCTGGTGGGGTTATCGCCTCTATATTCCTTTGCTTCCACACCACCCGCATAAGCGGATGTTTTTGTAAACTTGAACTAGCTGATCAGTCTTCTGAGGTTGGTTGTTCTCTTTCCCAAGCTTTCTATCATGCTTCCTTCTTCAGAGACATCAAGGAGCAATAGGCACTGGACAACTGACGTAGGATGTTCCAGAAATATGCTACAGACTTGTTTTAAACCCTAAGTGGGCTGAGTCACTGAAGGAAGAGTTAACAACCTTTGAAAGGCCACTTCTTGATGCTGCCCTGGACTTTGGCATTGAGCACGGTGCTGGCACAAAAAAAGCACAGAGGGACATGCTTCCCACCTGTCGCCTCCACGGCCAAGCACACTCAACCAAGCCTTGGCCAGGCTTCCCTTCACACACACGAGCACCTCGGGGTGTGAAGGCAGCTGTACTCTAGTTGCAAGCGGCGGGGAGGGACAGCAATCCCACTTTCCGGGGGGAAAATGGGAAGAAGCAGCAGCCAAGGAAAGGCCTCAGGGACAGCAGCGGGACTTAGCACCCCGAGATGCCCACAGCAGCTCCCTGCCCCAAAAGCGCTGCTCCCGGGGGCTCCCGGCGCTCTCCCGGTGCGCGCCCCCGGCCCGCAGCATCGACCTTCCACCGTCTCCCATCCCGGTCGCTCCTCCCCATCCTCGAAGACTGTTAGGAAGGGGGATTCCCCCATCCCCCAAAAATGAGAAAGGTGCCGCCTTACCGCCTTCCTGAGCGCGGAGCTGGCCCGGCAGCGCGGCGCAGAGCAGGAGGAGCAGCAGGCGGCCGGCCATGGCAGCGCGGAGCGCCCCGCTGATGGTCCCGCGGGGACGGGACACGGGAGGGACTGACGGGACGGGAGCCGAAGTCTTCACCCCCTCGGGCGGGGTGAGACTGAAGTGGCGTTGCTTCTGCCTGCCCAGAAATAGCGGAAGCGCCGGGTCAGGGGGAAAGCCGCGGCGGGATTTCTCATTCGGGGGGATGAGACTTCTCTTCTTTCTTTTCCTTTTTTTCTTTATTTTATTTTCAAAACCCAAGGCCGTAGCTTTTTTTTTTTTTTTTTTTTTTTTTTTTTTTTTTTTTTTTTTTTTTTTTTTTTTTTTTTTTTTTTTTAACCTTTTATTCTGGAGGAGAGGAAGGGACTAGCCACCTCAATAAGCTGATGTCGCCCTGGCCCGGCTCTGGGCTAAGCCGGGATCTTATCCCGAAACAGCCCGCACCCTTGGCAGCTCCCACCGGGGTGTCCCACATCCCAACCCCGTAAGCCGATGGTTCTGCACTTTGGATCAGTGACCTCGGCATGCTGCTTGCTGGGAGCTGGCCTCAGTCTCCCCTTTCTTGTGGGAGAGTTCACAGTGCACTGTGAACCCCCGTCTTTGGTGCTTCCAGAGCCAGCTGCCAGGTCTCCTTCATCTTCTTGTCTTGCTTCAACAGGACATTACCTTAAAAATATATCTAAAACCCAGCTTTGTTTTGAAAAAGTCACCCTGTGCAGCCATTACTAGTACTGATTCCTTTCAGCATTTTACCTGTTTTACTGCAAGATGATGATTTGTTCATAAATGTCAGTATTTAGATTGGAATGTTACAGAGGAAAAATCGCCTTATGGACCACGGAAAACCCAAACTGTTTTATCTTCAAGGGTCTTCAGAGATGATTTTGCAATGCTGAGTAACTCATCTAAGTGAATATGATGCTTTATTTGCTGGCCACTACTCCTAGTCACTTTCCTCCCTGGGATGGGACTCCTTTTCAGAGTAAGGATATGTTTGCGCACTGTAAGACCTCTTGTTTCTCAGGTTTCTTAACTTTGCTGCTTCTCCCAGTTCAGTTCACTATTTAAATGAAGAGTATACCATTCTTCTGTGTCAGTAAAATATGTTTATTTTAGGATGTTTAGTATTGCATGGTTTATGTACCAGATGATATCAATGTTTCTCCCTAATAATAAAGATCAATTGTAATTGTCCTACTCTCTGATAAGCTTTGTGATAGAGTTGCTATTCCACGTTATTTGAATGATCCTGGGTATAAGTTTTGCATAAGATCGCTAAACTGTTTTCTGATGTCCTAAATATTTTTATCTCCCTCACCTTTTCCCAGTTTTCATGCTTAGATTAGAAGGTACATTTTTAAATTTTATAGTTGATAGTGTTTTCAGAGTATTTCAAGTTCTATCATTTATGCCTTAAGATTTTAGTGAATGGTGTTTGGTCAGTGTTTTTCAGATGGTCAGACAATTATTTTATTCTGACTTCAGATCTCAGGATAGAGAATACAGTTTAGATTATACTGGACAACAAAGGAAACAAATGTTCCCTTTCACTTGTGCTCTATGTATCAATAAGCAAGGCAAAGATGAGACTAAATCAGTGGTATTCTTTACCACTCATAAATATAGGGTTAAATATTGCATTTAATAGCCTTACAGCAATAATGTTTGATGCAAGAAGACTGAAATAAACTTTTCATAACAAACCTATAAATGTGGAATCAATGTTTTTCCAGCTTTCTTGTTCTGGAGAATGTCTTCGGTTCCTATCCCTCAAATCTCCCTGTTGGAGAAAGCTACTTTAACATAATGTAAAAGAAACACTTTTTCTATTTTTTTTCCTGCTATTTCATAATTATATTACAGGATCCATAGCATAGGAAGTTGTGAAAGCCAGATGCATGAATGTGTTCAAAGGAAATTGCGCTCAATTCCAGACAGCAGGTTCATTCATGACTGTTCAATCTAATGCAACTTCTGGCTCAGGAAGTCTGTACTTCCCTGATTACCAGAAGTTGAGAGGGTAGCTGGAGGAAGGATTATGATAGGCATGATGTATTGCTGACAGTCTTTCTCTCAGCATCTAGCTCTGTCCTTTAGCAGAAATGGATGCAGAACAAGAGGGACTGTGAGTTTGATTTGTTATGGTTCTTCTGTGCCTGCTTGATAAGACATAAGTTTACAAACAATACTGATAAGGAATGTATTTTATGTATTGAAGTAGTCATTAGGCTTGCTTCAAATCACTAATAGTGGTGGGGTATCACATGTATCACATATCTAAGATAATGAAGGAATGCTTCAATAGGAAAATGGCACAGAGTGATTGGGGGACAGTAGCACCCTCTGGAAATGCTCTGGCTCAACATCTTTAGTCCATGTGCTTCTTCAACCAGTTGATGTATTTGGACACCCTTGTGTAAACCCCGTAATTGCCTTCAACAGCACAGCCCTTTCCCCAGCTGACAATCCCAGTCAGAAACCAAGTGTTCTTGTACTTTGTAGCATGAGGACCACCACTGTCTCCCTTGCAGGCGTCTTTAGCTCCAGACAGATCTCCTGCACAGAACATGTTCTCTGTGATACTTAAATTGGTCTCCTTTTCACATTCTTGTGTCTTTACGCGTGGCAAATCAACTCTCATCAGAACAGAAGAGGTGGCACCTCCATCTAATAGGCGTCCCCATCCACTTACTGTGGAGTACTTGATAGAGGATAGTTCATACACAGCAAACCGTTTCTCAGGCAAACATATCGGCACCACATAGTCGGTGAGATTCACCGGTGTTTCCAGGCTCAAAAGGGCTATATCATTATTGACTTGTCCAGGTGTGTATCCTTCATGAATGATTACCCTGGAGACTCCACTTTCTTGCTCAGTTTTCTCATCTTCATTTATTTTGTGTTCACCTGGAAAAGTTATTAATTGCAGGTCATATCAGGGATCTTCTTGATTCCTTGTAAGTTTAAGGAGATAGGGTGCTTCTAGTCTGACACCTATGAAGGATAATTCCCTTATACTGCCAAAGCCTTTAACTCTGGTTTTATCAGGATGAGAAGCTGCCACCACCTTGACGAGATGAGGAGAGGAGAATACGTACCCAGTCTCACACGAAGCTGTATAGGGGGAATATAGTCCAAACAATGAGCTGCAGTGACCACCCACTCTGGGGAAAGCAGGGTACCGCCACACTTTTCTTTATTATCATGCATTATAAGGGCCTGCCAACATAAAGCAAATGTATGTCTTACATCAAACGTGCTTGATTGGCATCTCAGTAGTGATGGGTTTCGTATTGCTCTTTTCCGACACTATATGCAACTGTGTGTGAGAATACTGTGATGACTTTATTGAGAATTTATGAGGGAGAGTCTTCCTAAACTGACATTTTCTCCATCTTGTAGTATGGACCTTGCCTATTATGGCCAAGGTGTATCCATGCAAGCAGCAACTATAATTCTTGCCAACAGTAAGGCTAAGGACTAAGGTATCAGAGGATAGAGGTGACTCTACTCCAGTGAAACCAGGCACTCCAAAATGAAGCTAAAATGCTTGACTGAAACAGGTGTATCTACTGGCTATGGACAAAGAGGGAATTCAGTTATCCAGACATAGCACTTTTTATGAATTCTTAACATAAAAGATTTAAAACAATGAATTTAAGGAAATTAAAAAATAAAAACAATGAAAAATTGTTGAAGACTCACTTGCCATGGACATTCACCTGGAGGACAGATTAAACCACCTACTATTCTCCCTTGTGCAGTTGAATTTTTTTTTGCCAGCACTGGTATTTTTCCACATGGGTATTTCACTGAAAAAAAAAAATTAAAAAGAAAACAACAACAGAGGGCAGTAGATGTGTACTGAATTCAGAGCAAAATTTCAGTGAAGCTGTTAGTTTTGAGAACCCATACTCCCAGACTAGAAATCAGTGTTTCAACTAAGGTAAAGCAGCTCAACAAGTAAGTTGTCTTTTTGTTTGGAAACAGCCAGAAATGCTTTATGAAATAGAGTGCAGGCCCATACATTATCATTGACACATATTCACTTACTATAGGACTTTGCAAACACTATACCTGCTAAAGATCTATGTCAACAACATGAGGTAAGCTGCAGGCTGGAGTGAAGATGTGACTCTGTAGTCTACATATTTTCAGTGATCCTGCTGACTTTAATTCAGTTGTACCAAGTGCCCAACATCCATAGTATGATCAGAGAGAAGCTTAAGCACAGGTTGGGCAGCTTGCCATCCCTTGTTTGGGCAGAGCCAAAGATGTCCTGAGAGCAGACATTATGTCTTCTGCTATGCCTCTCACAGACTTTACCTCACACACTTTACTGTGTCCACAGAATCCTTGATTCTTCTGGACTTCACATGTCAGTCTAATGTCTGTTTTCACTCTGAGGAAGAATGTGAAGACTAGCGAGAAAAGAATCAAATTTTGACTGAACCTGCGAGTTTGTGATGTAACAAAACACTGTCCCTTCTGTCTGGTAGTCACACTGTAATAACACTGTGAGGAGGAATACTGTCTTTCTACCACTTTGGGAGCTGGGACCCCACAGTCCATGCTGAGCTGCATCTGACATCTCCGTGGATCTGTAATAACTTCAGCTGTATGAAGACAGCATCAGGCTTTTACAGGTACAGGCAAGGTATAGAGAAACAAGAGTAGCTTTTCGATGGCAGCTGGGGAAGGATCAGAACAGGCATAATGCAGACTCATGGACTCTAAGTCTGCATGCAGGGCAACAGTGCAAAAGGGCCCATGTCCCAAAAGAAAAAGGGCCATTGTGAGTGATGGCAAAAGGACTGTGAGGGGACTGGCAGCCTGGCAGTTACACAGTTTTCTCTACTTGCAACACGTGGTCAGCTCTACGGCTGTTTTGGTCCCCAAGAAACAAGCAGCAACAAATACATCCTCCTCAGAGGGGAAGACACACTGAAAAGCCTGTGGGGAATATTGAATTCTTTGTTCTCAGCTTTTAACAAAAGCAGCTTCCCCACCACGTGGTATTGCAGGATCTGTTAATAAGGGATAAGCACATTAGTAGACATTTTTTTCTAATGAAATTGCTGTTGTTGACAGCTATGTTGTCATTATCAGCTCTCTGCATGAGTGCTCCATTGAGGTGTGTGTGTAGGGGGGCATCACCCCTCAGAATTACTTGGCATGCTCCCTACAGCTCTATCCGTTATGTTGTTATGTTCATATCCCCAGGGGTCTCTTTTTTCCCCTCTAATAAAGTAATTCAAGCAGGCATCTGCAATAGAGTCAGGTGCCAGCTTGTGTATTGGAAAAATAATTAACTTGCACTACCCTAGTCCCAGCTGAAACTGACCTTGTCAGGTGAGAGAAATATCTAACCAGAGTGTCTAT